TAGGGATTTCTTGCAGTGAGCTTTTGCGTTTGAGGTGAGTTTTCCTCCTGTTTTAAAGGGTCAAAGGCACCAATGTTGGCCCTGATTACGGTCCAATGCCAAGCGGTGCCCGATGAATATTTATACGTGTTTTCGGACTACGGTTTGATGTCGGGTAGTACCCGATGGATATGTAAATGTTCGATTATACTTGTTGTATGTGTGATACCTGTATGGGCCTGCTTAGGGAGGTGAGTGTGGGCGAGGTCCCGTATCTCATCACTAGTTGAGTGTGGACGGGGTTCCACATCTCATCATTATCATAGTAGGGGCGAAGCTCATGATAGGTGTGGCCTTAGGACTAGAACATATAGTATTGTGTATGGTTTCTTTATGTATAGCATGATTATATGGTATTAATTGTTTGTGTATAGCAGGCGAGGCCCAGAGAGGCGGGGCCTGGAAAAAACAGATATGTATACCGAGCAGTGGTTAATGCCTGCGGGTCCTGATGTCAGGCGGGGCTCGAGGTCGGGCAGGGGCCCAATATGTGTTTATGTGTATGGTATGTGGTAGTTTGCGGAAACTCACTAAGCTTCGTGCTTACGGTTTTTGGTTTTGGTTTCAGGTACTTCTGGTAGCAAAGGGAAGGGGAAGAGCTCGTGGGTATGGTGGATCCTAACAATCTGTCTACGCATCCTAGTTTTAAACTCTACATTGTAAGTTTATCGAACAACTATAAGTCTTTGATGTTTAGGATTAATTATTGATTGAAATCTTATGGTACTTGAGACTCATAAGACTTAACACATTTCCAGATTTTATTATCTATCGTGGCGAAATTTGGAAAACATAATGGCTATACTGATAATACTTTCGAGGTTTCAACCAATATGAAAACCAGAAATTTTCATAGCATTAATAAGTTACATTATTGATACGATGTGATTTTTCATAATTTTACAATTCTTAAATCTTGAAGTTGATCACATTATTTTATGCGCAAACATTCATAATTAAGTAAAAACTAATTATATTTTTATAATTAATATAAAAATATATTAATAAAATTTACAATCATTTTTATACAATCTTATACAATAAAGTTAAATTTGATAATTTTAACTAATAAGTATGTATTTTGATAAGCTTAGTTTCTCCACCACGTATGTCAATGTATTTTCCTTTTACACGAAAATATGTAGAATAATATTTTTGATTACATAATATCTTAATATACATCTTAATAATCACGACGAACTATGAGCATATTATCTTTCGGCAACATACTTTAACTTGCATAGTTTATTAATGATTTATCACATTTTAGATTGCTATTTAATAAGTTTTTAAACAATAATAAAGTATAATGATATTATGTGTATAAAACACGACAATCATCAAGACTTTAATAGACATGCATGTATTCTCTCCCAACTATTAAAGCAGTAAAAGAGGGGGTCGTAGAAACTCACATTCGATGCGTGATCTCGATCCTAGTTCGTTTTGGTGAAGCTTTTCGTTAATAACCGCAAAGTAACCGTTTTTGGACTTTCAAACCTTTTCGGGTTTATTTGTAATGTTTTAAAGTAAAGTTACTTCTTTTCGGTTATTTTATATTTAAAAGAAAATGTTGTTTTGTAATTTATTTAACACCAGGGCACTAAATTTGTACTAAATTATATTCAAGAGGACCGTTTTAAAAATGTTTAAATAACTTGGGGCCTGTTTAGAAAAAGTTTATTAAAGACCATAAGTGCAGGGGCTTGTTTTGTCAAAATCACCAAGTGTACAAAAAGGGGATACAGGCGCCTTCTTCATCTGATCGGGGGGATAGGAAATGACGCGAATGGGAGCAGGCTAGAATGGGTCCGGCGGTGGCTCAAAGTTCGCGAGGGGGGAAGAGGGGATCTGGCGAGACCGGCGATTCCACTGCGAGTTCCTGTCCGACATCGGTAGCGAGGAGGACCAAGGTAAACAGCAAACCGATGGTGAGGTGCGAAAGGGGGGTGTGAGGGTTCGGTGTGGCTTAGGGGTTTGCGAAAGAAAGGAGGCCAGAAAGGGTTTCGTCGATCGGCTTCGCAAACCGATGTGGTATTCTGGGTTCGACGGGCCGAAGGGATGAACAGGACGGGGAGGCAGCAGCGTCGTAGCGGTAGGTAAGGGGGTCGAGGGATCAGAGGGACGGTCGCCTCCCGTGTTTGCTCCGGGGAAACACCCACTTTGGTGGGTCTTGCTCTCGGTGGCTGAAAGGTACGTGGACGGGGGCTGCTCCAGCTGCTCCCCCGATCTTCTTCTTCTTATTTCTTCTTCTTTTTTTTGATAGAAATCATTGGAAATTGGATGTTTGGGTTTTCTTTTGACAGAAATCGATCTAGGGAAAGGATGTTTGGGTTTGATTGTTTGGAAGGAAAAGGAAACACGAAGAAGAAACGGGCTACTACCCTCTTGGTTGTTTTGGCAGCAATCGGAGGAGGTGGCTGCAATGGTTGATCAAGGGGGTGTTTTACATCTGGGAATCGACAGGTAAAGGGGGAAGATGGGAACGATTTCTATCTATAACTTCATGATCTCAAGCAGATTTTTGGGAGACTTCTGTTACAATATGATCAAATATAGAATTTGGAGAGTACTCTTGCAATATCTTAGTGGACTTCACACATGTGCCATTGTTTTGGGATATATAATATTTGTGAGAGATAGAACGTGTGAGAGTGAGTTATTGAATACTATACTTGTGATCTTTGTAGGATTTTGTAAGTACACATAAAATATTGTAGATTTTTATGAGGGATGTATAAGTAATCGAGTATTTAAAACATATATAATTCATGTATTTGGTTATTTAGACTATGTTTGGCAGTCTAGCTGAAAAGCTAGCTGGTAGCTGAAAAACTAGTTGTTACCTGATAAGGTAGCTGTTAGCTGATAAAATTTGGCGTTTGGTAAAATCTAGCTGATAAGGTGGTTGGGAAATGTTAAATGACATAAAAGGATATGTACGAAAATGATTCAATATTTTAAGACAATTATGTAAATAATAAAATTCAATTAAAGAAAATACTAAATAACATTTCTCCGATTATTTTTTTAAGTGAAATGTCATGCATTCCAGATCATATTCGTAATATTATCACGGATTTCTCGCATCTCATGTCGTGGCTGTCGAATATTAGAATGGTTGAATCTTGAATGATTCTCTTGTTCTTCTCTAGGTATGTAATTATGTTGCTGAACAATGTTGAATATCGTATCTATGGAATCGTTTCTTCGAATATAGTTATGAAGGGTAAATGTCTCCATTATCACATCTATTTGAGTATGTTGACTAAATTTTGGCATTCTATTCAATATTTTCCATCTTTTCTTAAATACTCCAAATGAACATTCAATACAACTTCGAAGAGATGAATGTGTGCGGTTAAAAGCCTCTTGAGCATTAGTTGGAAGCACATTTTCAAATTGTGATGTGATTGGTGATATCTAAGACGTGGATATGGTGCCAAATATCCTTTCCGGTCAGGGTATCCTTTGTCTACTACATAATATTTTCCTATAGGAAAAAAATAGATAAATAATAAGTTCATATGATTGTTAGCGCAAATTTTTTTACCAAATATAAAACTAACTGTAACTTCGGGGGGTTACAAAAATTCATAGAAGGTGTCTCAATTGCATGAAGGAACACTCGGGTATCATGCGCCGATCCTTCCCACCCAATGGATATAAACGTAAAACACATTTCAAAGTCACATATAGCCATTACATTGAATGTAGGGACTCCTTTTCTTCCCTTGTATCTCATTTGGTCGGCCGTTGGGATACATGCGTCTATATGAGTACCATCAATGCATCCAATGCAATCCTGTTAAGAAAATGTTTAAACTACACTACTGAAACTTATGAAAACAAAGAACCACAATAAATTACCTTGAAATAAGGTATATATCGACTTTCGTTTACAATATGAGATGGTATGCATTGAAATGTTGCATCTTTAGGTCTAATACGCTCACACGCAAGACCTATGAACCCTTTGCTCCGTCCACATATTGATTCCAACACATCATGAAAAGCTCGACTAACTGTCTCTCCAAAACGCTGAAACCTCTCAGCAACATCTCTATTAGAAAGACCTAGTGCAAGTGTATACAAGAATATTCCAACCTTTTCTTTTACCGATAGTCTATCACTTGACTTTAACCCATAATTGTTTTCTAAGTCTTCACATAGTTGTGTAAATAAACTAGCACTCATACAAAAGCATTAATACATCCTATTGTATGACCAATTAAGACCTCATTCATCTATGCTTCTCCTGTTTAATTTGAAGTCATACAAGGCTCCTTGTAAATATGAGTGTAGTAATAATTAATCACTGCTACATGTTCTTCTAGACTACTCAATGTTAAAAGTAGAAGTTGGTTCCTTTGAGTGTCATCCTTTGCAAGTTGTATTCATCAATAACAATATAAGCTAAATAAATAAATACCAAGTGTGAATGTAACAAAAAATAAAATACAAAACATTGCACATAAGCAAAATTAGCATCCAAGGAAAAGATAAACATCAAACTAATTAATAACATCATTAAATTTGAAAATAAGACTATTCACTAAAAAAATCCAGTCAAACTAAATTCTTCAAATTGTATTTCTCGCATGAGAAAACTTCAACCAAGCCAATCTGGCATCATCACTTGGCATCTCGAAGAATATGTCTCTGTTACTTGGATCTCGAAACATAAGCATCGCATGACACCAAATATCCCACACCAACCTCAAAAATATCATTTGCAGCTATTTGGTTCATAATGTCCATTATCTGCTTAATATTAGGTCCTACATCGTCCTTTTTAGAGTTTGAACCTTGCTTTATCAAACCCACGGTATCAGAATGGATTTCGTGAACCTTTTCTATATGCTCCCTCATTAAAACAGCTCCCCCGACTCCTTTTTTCTATGCTTCAGACTTTTGTTATTTTGTTTCGGAACATCAGAGTTTGTAAGGTTACCAGTAACCTATTCAGTAAAATTAGTCCAAAAAGAATTTTCTTGATTATCAAGACTTTCTGGTCTAGAATATTGAGAATATTCACGCATAGCCTCATCAGACCAACCATTTTCATTTTGTATCTTATCTGCATCATTAATTGATTTATCTACAGACTCCGGATTTAATGAGGGAGCTACACAACCTGCTCCCATTGCTACAGCATCACCAAATAATTGATCCCATTTTTCTTCTAGTATTGGATAAACTCCCTTGTGACGATACTTCTTTGCATCGGGTTTCTCCTATAATGTGAACTAATAAGACACTATAATATTAAAAGAAGACTCAATACTACAAATAAAAATGTCCAAGTAATACCTTTAACTTTCTATCCCACCATTCATCCGAACAATCTAACTTTCCAGTGGTTGGGTTCCAACCGAAACCAGTTTCTCCCGTTTTTAAAAATTTTCAAAGGCGCCAATCTTTCCTCATGCTATCATACTTGTTCTTTAGGCTTTTAAAGTTACATCGCTTACCAACCTTTTCTGTAAACATATCTTCTATCTCTCACAATCTCATGAGTTGACCAGGTCCATTCTTTGTAATGTAGTCGATACAAACCTCACAAAATTTTACAACATTCTCATTGTTCCAAGTTATCCCTTCCTAGGTATCTTTGTTAGGAGCCATGTTTCTTATAAAAGCCTTGTACATGTATTATATAAAACTCAGCAGTAGGTGGGGGATAGAGAATAAGGCTATAGTGAAAGGAACAACCAAAAGCAAACAACACCACCTCAAGAAAAAGTAAGACCAAACTATTCCAAAAAATGTATTAACCACAAGGAATAATATCTAAAATTTTAGTTATCTGTAATTGAAAATTTCCAATAACTTAAGAGCCATGTTTCATTTAAAATCCTTGTACATGTATTATATATAAAAGTCAACAGCAGGCGGGGAACACAATACTCGATTATAGTGAAACGAATAACCACAAATAAACATCACCACCTCTAGAAAAAGTAAGACTAAACTATTCCAAAAACTGTATCAACTCCAAGGAATAATGACTAAAGTTTTTAGTTATCTATAATTGATAACTTATTATAATTTAGTGAGCAACTTCAAAGAAGTATGCCCAGTATAGCAATGCACTTTAAACAATCCACCTTGATCAACACTCCCAAAATGGAGTCAAACATAAACAAAAAAATAGTAGAAGGCTAGCAATTCTATGCCTAATGAACTACACATAAGAATTATCATAAGTTTTTTTCTAATATTTATATCTATCATTGGTGATGACTGATGATATTGGGTTTTTAAGTAAAAACAATTTTGGTAGGACATTTAACAAGACAAGTGGAAAATCAGGTTACTCTGTAGGAATTTGATTTGAGCACTCTCACATAATTGGGAGTATGGGGCATCAACTTGGAGATAAATGAGAATTAGCCAAATCAATGTACTAGAACTAAAAGACCTATGTTTCTTTCTTCATGAATACTGCATATAGAGACGAACAATAATGAAAAAGTAAAAGCAAATGTATATTCGTATTTAATTAAGGATTGAAATATGGAACACAAAATATCTCATTCTCGTTATGCATTTTTTTTGATTTGATTTATTAATTCAATCCTTCATTAATGTTTAATACATACCTTAAATTATATAAAAATAGAACCATACTTTGCGATTCAAGAATGAAAATTAACTTCAATAGCTGCAAAAAACCAATAAACCGATACAAATAGTTAAAATTGATCGATACAATAACACAACACTACTAGAAAAACAGCCTTTTACGACGCTCATTGCGCGTCGTAAAAGGCTCAGACGACGCGCAAATGCACGTCAAGGAAGGCCCTGTCAAGAAAGGTCATGTCATAAATGAAGACGACACACATTCGCATGTCGTAACCTTACGACGCGCGTGTTAATGACACGCAATGCGTATCAAGAAAGCCCCTGTCAAGAAAGGCCATGTCATAAATGAAGATGACACACATTTTTGCGTATCATAATTTTAAATGTTTAAAAAAAATATTATTTATAGATTTACTAATTTTCAAATTAAATAATACATTAAAAATCTCATAATACAAAATAAAATACCATAAATAACAAATATATTTCATTTCACTAATATGTCAAATACAAATAATTATTCCAATAGTGAGTAAATGTTATAAAAAATGAACTCATTTATATACAATTGCACTATGTGCCAACAACTCTCTGTGTGTTTACTTTTGCTTGAGTCTCGTTTCCTCTAAAGCTTCTAGCCATGCCAAAATATGATATCTTAAATTCATCAAGTCCTTAGCGTGAAGTCTTAGATAGAAGCATAACTGCAATCTCCAATCCTTCTAGCAGACCCTAAAGATCATTATTGGCTATGTAGCAGGATCAACCTGCAATCTCTTTTCTACCTTCTTATTACTTGCAGCATCTTCTGCCTGTTTGACCAAGGTTGTGCCTTCAGCAGCAACATGCTGCATTGTGTCAAAAAGATAAAAACAGATGACAACAAATACAAATAACTGCATTCTACTTTAAAAAAAAATAGAATCCAACTCCTAAATCACAAACCTGTTTAAACATACTAGAGATAGGATCTAATCCATGGGGTATTTTTGGAAAATAATCTGAACATTCTTGACAAATTATCAACCTGCAAGTGAAGGGTAGAAAGGGAAGATACAAATGTTCACAACCAGTAAGAAATCTAAACACTAGAAGTTTCATAGTGATTGTTGATTCCTATAAACTCAAATGTGAGATGATAGCAATACTTGACCTCTGAAAACAAATAAACAAAGGATCGCATCATAATTAGCTCAATGAAGTAATTCTTATAGATTGTCTCTACCAAAAGATTCATCATGGAAACATTTTTGTTGGAAATAACTAAACAAAAACCTAAATACTAAGCAAAAAAATTATAGTAATCACCATTTAGAGCAGGATGAGGAGTCCGATCAGGCCATATAAGACCATTTAAGCAAAAATTTAAGTCATTTGGTGTATCTCCAAAGTCATCTCCATATGCCCAGTATTTGCTACCACTTGCATTTTCCTTGAGTGACCCCTGAAACCAGATGCAAATATTTAGAACTACCCTTTCACCACATTTACAATTTTATAAAATTCTTGTTTAGCTTTATCCCATTTAAATTTAGCTGAGAGAAACTGCAAAAAAAAAATAATAAATAATTTTTTCTCAAAAAACAATTAATGAAAATAAGAAAATAAAAAGGGCCCATGGGGAATAAAAAGGACCATAATCAATGAATTGTCCCACTAAGGTGAAAATATAACTACAGAATCATAATGGGATTTTTAGCTAGTAAAACATATTAGGAGTATAAGGGACAAGTCTAAACTCACTTGGAAGTGCTTGGTACTGCAACTCTATGTCCAAGAACATTAACAAGCACCTCAATACCACTAATTATTTGGATTTGAAGAACCAAAAAAGTAATTTTGGAGGTTGGAAATACCTGTAAATCTACCATGACAGTTGAATAAGCATCCTTAAGATCAGCTTATATCAAAAATTAAATTATATATATAACAGGGGTATTTTGGTACTTTAGTAGAATAAAAAAGAAACAACGCCTTACCCTGCTGCAGGCTGATCAACGGGGACAATGGCATTATTATCGTCACTGCCATCAAGATCCATAAGATCAAGTAAATGCGGCACAGGGTACCAAATGCCAAAATAATTGCAAGCAACATAAGATCACACTGAATGAATTATCTCTCAAAAGGAAAGTTAAACCATTAAGAAGTGCATCTGCATAATATACCTTAATAACCTCTTGCATAAGGAGCACTGAAATCAACATGCCAAAAGTTCATCAGCAACCCTTGTGAATCTTGTGATGAGTGTGCAAGCATTGGGTATATCAAGAACACACAACATCACAGCAGTCCAGACACAAACCCTAAAGCCAAGAAGAATATGTATATTATCATATATGCTTGATAGGAAAGAATAAGATTACACATGATAATTATACTTGAGACATTTCTAGAAGGTTCTATACCATCCAGCCCAAGCTAGAAATAGCTGCCTCCCCAATTCAGGTCTTTCTTTAGAAAAACTATAGAGATAATTGTACATTATAATAGTAGGTTTAGCAACGCCTAAAATCAAAAGAGGTTGTCCACCGAATATTGCATGGATAATTCCACATATAGCAGTAGAGGTGAGAGTTTCCACTGCAATCAACGTATCATCTGTCATCAAAACATAAGCCAAATAAGCATAATGATTTGTGAATTACACATAGTGTATCTATTTGTACCTACCTCTTTATTCAGTTGCTCACCGAAGACAATGACTGGAAGGGTGGAGGCAAAGAAGATGTATGCTGTTGGAGCTAATATTCTAAAAAAAGATGATTATTAGTATCAATGAACAAAAGATAAGAGGCATTCATGCAAGTGGTTAACTTTTCAATGTGGATTATAATTTATAGCTAAATGATATCTACCTTGTGCCTGAATCTAAAGCCCTGACCCAATCTTGCTTGTAACACTGAAATCTTCCTTGTAAAACAAATTTCCCTGAAAAACAAATAAGATTTTGAAAAGTAATCTTTATATATATATATATATATATATATATATATATATATATATATAATTTACCTCATGTTTTATACATCATTCTTAAAAGATAACTTACAACAAAAAAACCACCAGCTCCATTCCCAGCATCCACAACTATATGAAATCCTTCCAATGGCTTTTCTGTAATCCACAGCAAGTAAGAAAATAAGCATGAGAGAAAGAAAAAAAGTAATCTTCACATATACCTATGTTTCCTGAAGCTTTTCGAATTGTTGTTACAAGGTTAGAAGCGTAAATAACCGTGTAGTCAACTTTAGTGATGGAAGATCAAACTTTTCTTTCTGCCTCTTCTAGAGATTTTGGTGTAAATCCATTGTATATGTTTGCAGCACGCTTCAGAATGTCTTTAATGTCAGGTTTTCCAAGAACTCCTTCATTAGTAAAGAATTTAAAAGCATTTCTATTATAAGGAAGATGGCTTGAAGTTATCATGATAGCTCCATCAACTGGACATAGAAAGTCTTCATTTGTTGTGAGTGTACTATTGAACATTGTTGGAGTAGATGCTAATCTAAAAAAAACATCACTGAAAATAATTAACAAGATCATAACACCCAAAAAGAAAATAACTAAAATAAATGAAGAAATGATTACAATTACATTACCCATATTGCACGACATCAAAGCCTACACCAGCACTTCCCCGAGAAGCTGCATCCTGGAAGAAGAAAAAACATTAGGTTAATGTATCGTTTCATGCTGAAAAAGATGAGGTGTCAACAGGGAATTAGATACTATCCACATTCTCATAATTGAAAATAGCCCTAAACAAAAGCATCCATAAATATGAGACTTATCTCTGTGTATATCTGTGAGGAGTAACGAGACACTGGATTATTTGTGTATGTGACAAAGGCGTAATCAGCTCTAATATGTTCTTGAATCAAAATACGAATGCATAATGAATCATGATTCCTATTTTTATAGCTCTTTCATTCCATTTAGAAGCCCAAACCTGAAGAAAATGGGTAAGATAACAAATGTTGAACCATTCCAATTTTTGTTGCAAAATTTCAATAGGTTTGTCCATAAAGTCAAACCACAACTACTTTTTGGGAAGCAGGGGAAAAGTATCAAATATACCTTCTTAGTGCTTGCTAGATTTGATTCCATGTATCCTCTGCGGGACCTTGAGGCCATGGTATTCTTGAACTCTTCATTTAGTGAATATCTACATGAGTTCACGTGGGTTACCTGGAATGGAATAGGCACCGCCTGTTTTGGTGGAAGGCATCACATTCCCATTCTGTGGAGCAAATCCTTCTCCCTTGGAATCGGCATCAGCAATTCCATTTGTAGTCTCATTACCACCCCACACACACCTTTTCTTACTGGAATGGCAACAGAAATAGCAAAATTTTAAGTACTCTCTTCACCATTCTGCATAACTGTATCATCACCATCAAGCTAAACATCGGAATCACTAATAACATTTGGTTTTCTTTCCGGAACCGGAAACGGGATGTCAACTTTAACATAACTGATGGAAAGAGTCGCATCGCTAGCATCTTGAGAACCGGAATCCGATGGAGCAATTATTTGTATCGACTCTTTAACATCGGGAGAACTTGATTCAGATCTGTCAGGCTTTAGAATGTTGCTTTCCAATTCTAATTCCATTCTTATCTTATGTAATGATGAACCTTTCTCTGGAATTAGTGGTTTCTGCAACATATCTGTTCCAGGAAACACCAACATGTTGATGGACCTCATTTCTTGTCTGTGTGTTTCCTCAAGAGGCTTGAAACCAAAAACATCTATCCATGTATGCATGTGTTCAGCAATGGCATGAATGATCAATTTCTCAATATGAAGGGATGAGAGTACCTGAAAAGAAAAGGGTCTACAAGTAATTTACACGCACCAAAAGCAAATAAAATGTTCTACTTTTTCTTACTGATTCAATAGCAGATAACAACCTACGACACATCATTTGGCGTCTATAAATATGGTGGGTCCCAATAAATGGCATCTCTGGTAGCTGGGTCCCATTAATCCTAAACATATTTTATTAATATTTGAAATTAAGGTAAGAAATTGACAAATTTTATTAAAATTAATTAAAGCAGCAAAAGCCTACCTGATGGATGCAACACAAATCATTTCATCACCCCTCTCCAATATAGATGTAAAGAAGCCACTATTAACCTGTTAAAGTTTGATCTACAAAAAAAAATTACAAAGAGTTAGCAAATTCAGACATCAACTTAATGGGTAAAGAAAGTAACAAGGTATGTTAAACTTACCCACAATTCTAAACAACATTATGAATTAAGTTGATTCCACTTCTCCTGTCAAGAACAGGAACAAAGAACTCATCATTGACCGAAAGAGCAACAACTAGCTTGGAATTGCATTCCACTCTTCGTGATAACTCCATGGATGAAGCATCTGGTGGAAGATCTAATCGATGAATAAGAGAACATGAGAATCTAGAACCCACTTCATGATTCACCCCAAGAAGCTTCTGTAGGTGGCTGTATACTTGCAAAATCAACATAATTTCAATTTACACCACCAAACTACAAGAGAGAATGTGATCAAAAATTTCATATCTTTTATAAATTAGATAGTAATCTTGTTTATATATAATTCTATTTATTTTTTTAATGGTGATTTCAATATGCAGTCCATCGTCAACACAGAAGAATCAGAGTTTTGTTGAGATGTTGAAATAACTAATGGACAACATATTCAAGCACATTGAGAGATTTAGATAGAAGGAACTGACCAGTTTTTTTGCAGATCTTGAGATACGTTTTGCAACTCAGATGTAGATTAAAGAAAATTACGAGATCTTGAATGTTTAAGGGCTGCCTCCGACTGATGTTAATACCCCTTCGGTTATTGGATACCAAAAAAACTGATTTATGCTTGAATAAAAGTAGAATCGATGAGAATGTAGAGAGCCCAAATTAAAAACTTGTCCAGTAGAATCGATTTGAGAGTGAGTGTTGGATTTATTGCTTCCCTTGTCCTGGTTCGCTTACGCTTTGAGACACCTACAAAAGTTGAGTTTTTTAGCATAAATAACACGTGGGTCATCCCCTTCTGCAACAATTCGAAGATCTGGTATGCATGTGGGAAATTTCTTCATAAAAAAGCGACTAGGGAAATCCATCATCTCATTAAAATCATACTCAAGTTTAATATTAATCTAACCTGGGGCTTGTAAACTTGAGCAATCGTTGTAGTATCTGGTGAGGTGAAGTGAGCCCGAGGTCGCCGACGGTAAGAGATGAGTCGAGGTCAGAGGTGAGTTGAGGTAGATTCGGTAGTGGTGGAGGTGGATTAGGGTTTACAGAGAAAAGGAGAAGGAGAGAGTGAAGGTTGTCGGCTGGTGGCGTGCTTGCCTTGATCGATGTCAACGACCGGGAATGGCAAGTAACGATGGTCAAAGTTCGAGGGAAGAAGTAGGCGGCAGTCAATGTGGGGAGGGGAATTAGGAGCGTCGATAATTAGGGCAAGAGGGAAAGGATGAAAAAGGAAGGCGGGGTTTTTAATTTTTTAGGATTTCATTTCCCTCCAGCTACTAAAGGATGGAACGCGCATTTCCATTAAAATTTATAAAGCGACATATTCAGACGACGCACATTTTTTTATAGGCGCCCTCCGTGTTTTTTTTAGACACTAATTTAAGGGCACGCAAAAATGCACGTACTAAATCCTTAAAATTTATAGAGAGATGACATTACTTTTAGGTCACACACTTTTGCGTATCGTAAATCAACACGTATCATAAATTGCATGTCGTAAAAGGCTATTTTTCTACTAGTGCAAAGACCTAAGTTCATATGTATATAGTATCGGCTATTGATCAATTGAACGAAACAACAAAGAAAATAAAAAAAAAATGCATACCTGGTGATGATAAACAAGACCCAACGATTCAACGACGTCCTACTGCTCTAACAGAAATCGACATCATAAGTAATTCCCCGCTTTATAGAAATCTATGATGGAGGGAAAAGTTTATTGTGATTTGGAGGGAAATTGATGATTTGGGATGATCATGTTCCCGATTTTTTTGTAATCGTGCTTATCTCTTAGCAATTTTTGAAGGGCATAATCGGAAGAAATATAAAAAGCTCCTTCAAACGTTGGTTGGAGTAGCTTATCAAAAAACTAGCTTTTAAGCTAGCTTATAAGCTAGTTTTTGGTTTGCCAAACATGACACTTCCAAAAAGCTCAAAAAATTAGCTAGCTATGGCACGCCAAACACGGCCTTAGCAAAATACATATCATACAAGTATTTGGGTATTTGAATCATACATAATATATTTTTGTGATGTATATATATATTTTTGGGGGTTTAATGTATAATTATGCATATGCAAACATTCTATAATGTCATTATATTCCGTTGTCTAATTGTATTAATTAGAAACTTGATTTCTTAATATATTGCATACGTGTTGATTGGTTGGGTCGGATGTGTCATGTTTAAAAGCTCAAACGGAATTAAATTCCGCTATACCGGACTTCAGGACAAAAAAATGTTTTAAAGTTTCGCGATTAATTGTTTCGGAGTCAACAGATTTTACAAATCTGATTTTGATCGACATTAAAAATATTATAATATTATAAAATATATTAAGGTAATATACTATAATCTGAATTGAAAATCATGTTCAAAAGTTGTTTACGAGACTGGTAGCTATTCCAAACGAAATAGTACACGGTTCGTCTAAAGAAATAAGATAACTACTAATTTTTATAACTTTAAAATAGAGTAACTTTCTCATACGATCTCTGTTTTGGACATTATTTATATCCACGGAATTAGGAGAACGTAACTTATTTAAATTTTTTATCCATAACTCTCAAATAAACTTAATGCAACAATTTATTTTTAACGTCATCAAGAAATTAAATTTTTGACGATTTTCAATTTGATCTTCAATGATAGATGTTTTGAGATGTTGTAAAAGAAACTATAAATATAATATATTTAATATACATTATAAGCATATAATTACACACAATTGGTCCTTAATAAATAGCATTTCATGATGGTTTTACCGTCGAACACTCACTGGTTTTTACCAATTGTTACGTTATCCTCCTGTTGAAAGTAACTTCGTCCTAAAATTCAATGTGTAGATAAAATATTATATAACAATTGGTGGTGATTTTGTTTCTCTTGATCCATACATGATCTATCTAAAGTCGATTTAAGTCGCATAACTAGATTAGATAACTGATCCAATATATGACTTTACCACAAGTCACAACTAAATGGGGAGTATGGAATAAGACGGAATCAAATATTTTAAAGCTAATTAAATCTTGAATAAAATACTACGGTGATGTACTTTCCAATATATGAACCACTAGTGCGGTTTCCTATTAAATTCATTGAGATTTGGCGTATGAAAGAGCGTCGTGCATGCCTTTTAGTCCTCCAGATAACTTGATATGAATATCAGGACCAAGTTCTATTAATAATTTCAAAGATCCTTTAGGTTGCATGTTTAACTTGACTCGTTATCTAAGCCGAATTATTCCTCCAAAAGAGAAGGCATTTTAAATATATATAGTCTCTGACTTAGAAGTCGAAAGACTTACTTCTTTTGTGCACATATCACTCTTATAATTCATGACCATTCTAAAATCCTTCTCCGGTCACACAATCTTTTCGGTGATCGCATAAGTGATTCATGGATCCAAATGCAACATATCATAGTCATGTTGTTTGCTCAGTTTCGTAACTCCAATCGTTGTTCAGCATGTCAAATCTTGATACTTTCATCTGTAGAATGCCTAAAACGATGTGAATTTGATGCTGGTGTGATAATTATCGTTGTAAAAAACTCAATTAACGAAAATGAGCATTCCATGTAATATCCAAAGTTTTTCATACAGGTTCAGAGCATATTACTCATGTCGAGATGGTTTATTCGTCCTGGTCATTAAGGATGTATTGATATGCTTATGCCTAAGCGCGCACTCAAGAATTTCGATGGTTGTTAAAATTACTAGGTGAAATCACTATCTTAACGAGAGATGATAGAGATCAGAATCTCTTGCAGTCCGAAGATTTCTTTGGATAGCTTTGGTATGAGGTTCATTAACGTTGGATCCCACTTTTACTTGGGTATTTCTTTATCTTTACCCTAGTCTTGAGTGTTCTTGAGATTCTGCATTTGGTACAAGTTTCTTATTTATCCATTCCAATGGTAATCTTCGTTTTTGTGCATGTTCATTAATTCATTTCCTTCAAATCAAAGTACATGTAGCCGGAGCCTGGAAGGATGGGGCACTTTTATTTGTGAGTTTTGTCCAAAACAATGCTCATGTGTTCACTTTACCTAGGGGTGCAGATTTGTTTCATAAAGTAACGTGTCTCGTAATCCCTGAGCTTGACCAATTTATCTAATTTTCACAGAGCTTCTCTCACGAAGCTATCTGTATAAGGGTCCCGAGTCAATCTTCTCGAATTGGAGCCGTAGGCTGTCAAATGGATATTCATAAATAAATTTTCATACTCAACATGATATGGTACGTTCTTTTCAGCTTCATACATTTATACAATGTTAATCTCATTACCATGTTAATGAATCTCACATGTTATCATAACCACGAATTTCTCATTTATGTCATTCAACCAAAAGCATCAGCAAAACCTTGCCTCAATTCATCCATGTTCACCTTAATCCTTTATGTACATGTAAGTCGTATAGGGACCAACTTTTTATTCTTTTATAAATGTAGGATTGGTGTGTTACACCATAGATCTTCCAACTTCTGGAATATAATCTCCTGATTATCTCTTCAGTTGGACTTTGTTTCCTTTTGGTGTTAACATAATTGATGGTTGGGCTACCATAGAAAAGTTCCTGATGGATCACTAATAGTAGCCAACATAAATTCTTTTGTTGTTAAAATTTCAGCGTTCATTTCTTGGGAAAAGGTATTCACTTATGCGTCCACATTTGAACAAATCTTTCACATTTGATTAAATCCTTCACAAGGTAGCTTAAATCACAGTGTGTCCAGAAGTTCACAATAGTTTATCGTTTTATTTTTAGGGTAGGAAGGAAACTTGAGGTTTTTCTCTGACTTGTCATCATAAATGACCATGGTTTTCTCTTAGGTAGATTTAGTCGTACAAATTTATTGTAGTACAGATCTAGACACAAAAGGGGTGGTAGTCAATTCATACCTATGATAATGTCGAAGCTTCCGCTCGGAATTGGTATAAAGTCTATAAGAAAATGTTGATCGTTCATGGTTTCTTTATCATTTAAAGGGGGGTCGTATAACGACTTGATGTGATACAAACAAACCCATACCATATATACAACAATATTGGCCATTCAGTGACATACGCACGCGGTTGATGTGATAACCATGATTCGGTAAGTGTTAGGATGAAATTTATTAAAATTTAGTAAGTAGACTTCCGACAGCTCACTTATTGTCTTTACTTTACAGGTTTTCTCTAATCTACTGGGTTTCATGGCTTAGAATAGGTTTAAGTTTAGGGTTCATGGATAT